AGGAGCTCTTGCCATCTTTGCCATGTGATACCCTACATTGCCACAGGACCTGTAGAGAGTTCCCACCCAGGAGAGGACCCTACATCAGATGCACCCTTTGGACTGTGGACTTCTCAGCCTCCAAAATTGTAAGAAATAAATTTCATTATCTTATAAATTACCCAGTTTCAGGTATTCTGTTACGAGCAACAGAGAAAGGACTAATACATTATCCATGGCACAGAGTGAACTTACTGGAAAGCCTCCCCACCACCCACACTGCATCACAGAGGGTGTGATGGGATTAATGCAAACTCCTTTCATATTAGGAGAAGACCAAGGCACATATCTCCTACTGGTAAATTTACTATGCTATGCTTGCCTATGAAACAAACTCATAATTAAGCAATTAGTATATAATGTGTTTGGGAGGCAGGATAACATAAATAAGATGGTACACTTGGTTATTAATTAGTAAGTATCATTATTAGTTTCATGTGTGATATTAACTAGCTGTGCAACATCAGGCAATTCACTTAACCTCTCTGAGCTTATTCTATCAACTGAAAAGTGAAGGTGTCCCATTAGCTGATTTCTAATAATACTGCTACTTCTAAGAATGTTTATTTGATGTTCTGATTATCATAGAAAATTCCCAATAAGATTCAGAGGACAATTACCTGTACAATTACCTTTCTACAGTAAGAGAAATGCCTCATAAATGGGCCTGTAGTCAAACTGAGTTAGGACTAAGGGAACACATTTTTAACAGAGTAAGGTTATGACAGCATTCACTTATGGCAGACTGCTGTGTGCTGCGCCCCTGGAACAGACAAGCCTCATGTGAGAGGACGGCGGATAAATATCACGGAGAGTCCTCATTTAGAGACAAGAGAGGTGTCCTCAAAGTGTAATTTTTATAGATTAGTCTGCAGCTTATTGTTGTCTATCCCCACAGGCCTATGTGTATACATTTTTACAAGTTTATTGAGGTACAATTTACATGCCATAAAATTCATCTATTGTACATTAAAGTGTACAATTCAATGATTTTTAGTAAATTTACAAAGTTGTGCAGTCATCATCACAATCTAATCTCCACCATTCCCAAAAGGTCCCTCATGTCTGTTTATAGTCAATTATTCTTCCAACTCTCAGCCTCAGGCAACTACTAATCTACTTTCTGCCTCTGTAAGTTTGCCTTTTCTGGAAGTTTTATATAGATAGAATGAGACAGTACGGAATCTTTGGCAAAAGGTTTTTGAGGTGCACCCATGTTGTAGTATGTATCAAAAGTTTGTTCTTTTTACTTCCAAATAATATTCCGTTGTATGAATAAGCCGATTTTATTTCTTCCCCAGCTAATGGACATTTGGGTTGTACACTTTGGGGCTATTATGAGCTATGTTGCTACGAACATTTGTGTACAGATCTTTATTGACCTGTGTTTTCATTTCTGTTGGGCATATTCCTCATAGTGGAATTGCTAGGTGATATGCATTAAACACTATGCTTAACTTTTCAAAAAACTGCCAAACTGTTTTCCAGAGTGGCTGCAGCGTTTTCTATTCCCATCAGCAATTTATGCAAGTTCACGTTTCTCCACATGCTCAACACTTGTAACTGTCTGTCTTTTCTATTATATTAACAGGCATTGATGGACAGTGACACAGTGTAAACTGGGGAGTCTCCTCCTATTGGGGGGACCGCAGTTCCAAAAGATCCTATGACTAACTGACAATAAAAGTTTGGATCAGTGGCCACTGAAACTATTGTTTCCTGGGCTAAATTCTTCCTGACTATACTAAGCAGCATCCCTACTTAGTTGCATAGATGGACTGTATGCTCTTCTTTTTAATTATCAAAGCAACCCGAAGCAAAGTTCTAAAAAATGCACTCACTCATCCCCAAAAGTTCATTTTATTGCACAGATATTACTAGTATTATAACAATGAGACCTCAGATATGGACAATGTATTCCAGAAAATGGTCAAAGAAAGTTTGCATTAATCTAACATTTTATTTGTGAAAAAGCATACTGCAAGTAAGTAAAGTCCTATATATTTTATTCAGAAAAAATTCTGTATTGTCTTCCTCTGTAGTTAGTTTAAAGGATATCTAAGGCTTTGTATAGTTTTATACAAATATAAATATAAAATATATATATATATATAATGTGCACTGTATTTCTTAGAAGTTGTATTATTTACTTAGTAGTTACTCAAAATGTGCTGAATGAATCTGTCCTAAGAAGAAATTTACTTTTTTTAGG